CGTGGGGCCTCAGTTTACGCCGTGCTTCACTCGGGCACGTCGCTGCTCTAAAGTGCAGATACACAGCTGAGCTCTCCGGGCGCCCCGGAAGGGTTCAGCAAGTAACAGCGCTGGCATGCAGCATGAAAATAATGCAGAAGTATACTCACACACAAATGCGTATTCCCCAGGAAAAGGACCAGTGGAAGAACCTGGAGGGACAAAGCACCGTTAACCATTCTGACGCTGCTAGATATTTCCTCAAATGGGGTGTTTCTTGCTGCCTATGTTTCTTCAGACAGGCCACAGTCATTTGAGAGTGAGCTAATTCAGTGCAAATAATTAACTGTGCTTCAGATATTGTTTAATGTTCAACAGATTGCCCTGACGAGATAAATGTATCCTGCCCAGATGATCACTATCTTGACTCTTGGTGAATGTTTCAAAACAGTAAATATCAAAGCTAGAAATAGTATGAATTAATGATGGAACTAAATATTTTTCTTGTATTAGAATTGTTTTTCTTCTATTATTGCCATTTTAAAAAAAAGTGTGAGTCAGGCTCATTTCTCCCTTTCACCTGAAAAAACTAATGAGATCTGGTTAAAAAAGGTAAGATTTTTAAATGCATGAAAATTTCCTTTTAATTGCTTTCTGGATTTTAAATTTCAATATTCTTGTTCTTGATCATTTCTCCACAAATGTGAGAACTCAGAAACCTTTTTTTGTTTTTTAAATAAAAACTGAGCTTCTCAAGTAACTACCGGTCCCCAGAAGCTGAGGCAAATACAACAACAGTGCAGTGGAGGGAATCACAATGCCACTGCAAGAGTAAGCGACCCTGTATTCTGGCAGTGGCGACAAACTAGCTGATCAGATCTTGCTTGTGCTACATGTTATGAAAACAACTGAAAAGACGAATTCTTTCTCCCAAAGAGTTTACAGTCTGAGTAGGAAGAAAGAAAAGGGTGATAGAAATAAAGCGTTTCCAGACTGCAGCTCAAAGTCACATAGGAATTCCCTGGTAAAACGTTTTATCTGTGTTTATGAAGCAGCTAGATAGGATAGCGCTGAGCACATTACACAACACCAGCAGGAAAAGAATATGATTGTTGACTCGGGAGGATCTGAACAGTGCACAGTAAATAAAAAAGGGAGGGGGTCACATGTGAAATATGAGGAAGAAAGCACAGGGAAATCACAAGGACTCTTTCCTCTTCTGGACGGCATTTTCTGGTGAAAAACATACGATGTGAGCACCAGATTACAGACTCTGTTAAAAGCGGGCTGAACTTCTCATATCAGGGAACCTTATTTCTGATGATTCCTCACTCTGGAACCTCCTCGTCCTAAGGTAGATTTCTTGCATTAAAAAATACACCAAAAATTTAGAAATTATATTTATGTCAGACGTGCATAATTTAAGCAGGTGCAAAACAGGTCTGAGATTTACTACACTGGGGGTCTCACACACACAAGTTTAAGAGAATTCCAAATTCTTTAACTAGTTAGAAAGACAGCAAGATAAAAGGAGTTAGATAATGCACAACTTTATGTAATGTGTCCTTGAGTAAGCTGATTTGCACTGAATTTTAATAGAGCCCTGATTCATCAAATCTCAAACAGAATTAAGGTATGGACTGGATCCTAATAACATCATGCTTTATATCCATGAAAGATAAATTAAAGGATGCAAAACTGCTATTGACAAACATTGATTATATGTACTTTGATGGACTTTGAAGTTGTGCCAGATGCGTCTTGTCAGCCTCCAAAGTTTTCTTTTAAATCTCATTGCATAAGGCTTTTACTTTTTAATTATTTTTTTCCCTCAGCCTCTTTGATCAAGAAAAAAATGTAGATCATATTTGTGTGATGCTATTTCCTATGCATTTTATTTAGATATGCCCTTGTGCACAGCTCACGATATGTAAAAAGAAACTACACAGCATGTAGTTGTCTTAACCTGTTATCCTGGATGATGATTAACATTTAATTGACCTTTCCAAGCTACTGAGTGAAATATGACCGCGTGCAGAGGACTAGCACAAGGCCCGTTCATCTCTTTTTGTGCCATGTAAACCTTCGGAATATGACCTGAATGACAGTATTTCTGGTGGCTCTTTGCTCAGAGGAGAATTTTGCCCGCTCTCAAAGTCCTACCGATCCATTTAGTTCTGTCACTATGTCTGTGGCAAAGGGGTCCACACATTAGATCCTATGAAAAGTCAAACCCATCGGCAACTTTTGCTCACTTGAGAAGTTGGACTACGGTTTAAACAGGTGAAACTCCTTCTTCCTCTTTTCCATCTATATAAATATCTTTTTAATAGGGGACTTCAGGAAGCTTGAAAGAAACTTTGAAGCCATTTTGATTCCAAATAGTTGTGAGTCCCACGTATATCGTCTTCCTTTCCTTGCCCATCAGGATACAACCATTCCTTTCAGGGCACGGGAATTACATAAAGCATGTTGGTGTGCATAGTAAATGGCTCTGAAGATGGAGCAAGATTTGGGGCCAGCTGCTCTTTTTTTGTGACTGGACCTATTCTCTACATCTCCAAAACTGTCTTACTGATAATGGCTTGATGAACAGACATGAAGCGCTTCTCTGTGACAGTCCAGGTAGCTTCCAACAATAATATGAAGAAAAATTTAGAGAAGAACTACCAAGTCCTTTAAAACTGAGAATGAATAGATGAAAATAACTGGTTTGTGTACTGGAACAGAAATGTGAAGGACTGGGGGAATTTCTGCACCATCATCTTTAGTGCCTTGAACAACTCATTTGTTCTCAATATTCTTTAGCTTCCCATCTGAAAAACGTGGGTAGCAATATCTCCTCTATCACTGTGTGTTGCCTGTTTAAATAATAAACGCTTCTGGCTCGGTATTTTCTCCTATATTAACCAGCAGCTCCATGCACAAGAGGTGCCTTGCCTTGGTTGTCGTGTCTAGAATAAAAGAGGTAAAAGAATAACCAAAGGACTATCCTCCCAGTGATTTATTTGGAATCACTACCAAATAAAATACTCTATAATGGCTGGGTAGTTTTCTGGCCAAAATAAACAGTAGAAATATTACTTTGTTAATTTTTCTGCCCTAAAATGTGACCTTCCACTGAAAAAAAATCTTTCTCCTGGACATTTTTCTGCCACCACACACAAGGCCTGAATTCTGATCCTGAAAAGTGTTTGACCCTGCGCCCCTAAGATTATAATTCTTCACCATTCTCCAACATAAAGCAACCAAGCACGAAGGAAGAATTTTCTGTGCTATATTTACATATGGGGGTCTATGCGCGTGGGTTATTGCAGTGTCAGATATGTTATCTGCAGATCCGGTTATTAACAAATCACCGTATTTGTGAATGAAGAGAGAAAATTCCTAAAGTAAAGGGAAAATAAAAGCATGTAGTATTCAGCTTTACTAAAAACAGTGATTCTAGCAATACTTGCCTGCATCAGCTATCCTCACTACTATATTGTGCCCGCAAGAGCATAAACCAGTCTCATTGAGGGTCAGGTGATCTTTCCTCTGACCCAACAGCAATGCCATGCAATATAGAAAGATCAATGCTTTGACTTTGGCCTTTTCCACTGCTACCTTTTCGTGGCTTTCTTTAATTAACCTAATAACTCAAAAGCACAATAGACGTTCATGCTTCCCTTTTAAATGTTCCCTCCACTTCCATTAAATACAAGCCTTGTTCAAACTCCAAATAAAAATAAGAAAGCAGAAGCCCTATTATTCTTCTTTGTACAGAAGGACCAGATTTGAGTGAGAGTATAGGGAACTGATGTTTTAATATAAAATCTGGGAAGGGGAGGAGGCATATTCTCTTTGTGAAGTTCATCTTGGTGCAGAAAGCCAGCATGAGGTCTAGACACCACTTAAATCAACATTTTAAGAGTTGCGGTTTCATTTTGTTTCATAATTCTCACTAGCAGCAAATTCCCAGCGATGATTTCAATTCTTGGGCTCAGATCAAAAGCACGGTAAAAATTTAAAGACAAGCAAACAAACAAAAACCAGGATAAGCGCAGGCAGCAGAAAGTTCTGTTGGACATGCAAAAGGACTCGTCCCCTGTCCCCACCACTAACCCAGAAGCAATTCTTCAAAGGATTTATGCAGACTCAAATCAGTGCAAGAAAATGGTCAGCTAATTAGGAAGAGAGGCAGTACCACTCCAGCACTACATCAGGTCCAGTAACCCAGCTCTGACACTGACTTGGTACCAAATTCTTCTTATGAAGGAGCATAAACTCCATCCAGCAGTTAACGAACAACCTGTCACAGAGGAACTTTATTCCTGTCCCCAGTCAGAGATTGGCTTATGCCCCAACCATAAGACTTTTTGTCCCTTTCCGGCCTCTTGGGTGTTCTTTTAAATCTTTCCTATAACAGCTCCGGATATTCTTGTTAGCTGCATAGCTCTCTCAGCGTGTTTTTGTGTCTTGAAGCTGCCTGCTAAAAGCATTAAAACTGTAAAGTGGTGGACAAAGAGGCAGTTTTGCTTTCAAGCTGAAAAACATGCATCAAAGCTTCTGCAGTAAATTTATAGAGTATTAAAAACAAACAAAATGTGACCGTAGGGTAACATCATTTTAGGAAAGATGCAATGGCCTACCTCAGAGTCTGCATTTAATGTACACAGCTCTTACTTTACCCTGCCTAAGCTATAAATCCCAAGGGCCAAATTCTGCTCAACTATCCTAAAACAAAGACATTTTTACACTGCAAAGGTAGAGGTAATATAGTTCTCTGCTCTGGTTACCAAATGCTGCCTGCACAGACTCCGTTGGATCCTCTCCAGACAAAGAGGACAGCAAGGAATATCAACCCAAGGGCAATATGTACAGGCCATGCCCCTCGAGTCTTGCGATCCAGCGTTCATGCAAACATATAATCAGCAGAACTGGCTACTGGAATAGAGCAGATTCTCTGCTGTGGCCTAATATTGGGCGTAGCAGGGATGCAGGAGGTCCTCTTCCTGCTCCAGGCACAAAACACAGCAGCCTAGAGATTACTCTAATGCCAAGGTGGGAACAAGAACGGACAAGGGACTTTGCACCAGAGGGCTATGAGAGCACGCGAAGCACCAGCAAACTCTCTCTGATCCGCCAGGAGCAAGTTTTGCTTTTTGGGATACCCTGACTCCAAGATAATCCCTGATGAGGAAATTACAGGCAGCTGCCAGCCCCAATCCATGCTGCAGAAGCAGAGTGAAGGAGAGCAAGAGCTGAGTGAAAGCTGGCAAGAGCTGACAAAGTCATCTGATTTGTTTCAGGAAAAAAGGTGAGGTTTCTGAAAGGCACAACATTTGA